AGCGTGAGGTCGGCCGCTCGGATGAACAGCGCCGTGGTCATCTTCCTGGATCAGGTGGAGAAGGTGAACCGAGTCGTTGAGACGGGCATCACGGTGAACAAATTTTGTACAGGTGACTCCACTGACACAGCCTTCCACCAGAGTCATCCTGTCCAATGTCCCTCCGTTCATAACCGACGAGTTCTTAGCAGAGAGCTCTCCAGACAGGGAAGGTGTGTCCCCCATAAAAAAGATTCTGTCTGATGTAGATCTCAGCTGCTGAAACACGTGTGTCTCACCGGAACAACTGTTTATGATACTTAACAATCGGATGCGACCTCAACCTCCGCTTCCATGTTAAAGTAGATGATTATGACTACGTATATTGCCACCTCGTCGCTATGAAATGTTTGGTTGTGGTGAGGAGACACACCGTGAAGCCTGTCCGAGACAAGGGGATCCGGCTCCGCCTGGCCGTGGTGACGCCCGCCCTGTGGCGGCTTTCCGCTGCTCCCCGGTTGCAGCGAGCGCGGCGAGCCCTGAGCGCGGAGACTTCATCCGCTGCGGCCCCGCGGCATCTGAGCGGCCGATAGCGCACGCGGAGCGCGCCGCGCCTCTCCGCTGCTGTGTCTGACCTGAGCACGGGTGGTGAGTATGAATGATGTGCACGGTGTGGTGAAAACAATCAGGGAAGTGAAGGAGACGGTTTGGATTGTGGAAAGTGGGTGGTGAAGAAAAGGGATGAAGTACATAAATAAAGCAAGTGGGTCAGTGAAGTGCAGAGGGTATGTCAGAGGAGGAAGATGAAACACAGGCAGAGAGGCAGGTGGGGAACAGTAAACTTACATGGGAACAGGTGGAAGGCTGAGATAGAGGAGGGAAGAGGAGCAGTGAGGTCAAATCTGCTTCTAAACGCAGAAGGAAAACTAGAGCACAAAGTATGAGGCAAAGAATAGCAAAGTGGAGGAGGAGGAGGACAGACAGACAGTAGGGACAGGACAGACAGAGGAAAGTGAAAGTGATGACTGTGTCTCTGATAGCAGTGATATATCTGGATTTAAAATAAGTAACAGTCAACAGAAAAAACTTTACTCTGCAGAAATGATTAAGTCTTTTAGCAAAAACCAAAAATGCTAAAGTGTTAAAGTTGAAGAGCATTTCCCAGTTTAAGTTTTATACCTCGGCCAGACTCCACATGAGCCAAAAGGAGGAGTCTGGCCATCACTAACAAGGAGTTTTTTAGATTAAAAAAACTTGTGTAAAGTAGAAACAACTGAACAATGATGACGGGAAGAGCTCCAATGTGTGTTTTAATTAATTTATGATTTTTATTTTTGTTCTTAATTTCTCACTTATGGATAATTTTAGAGTGGAAGTTAATATAAATGGAGCCAGAGAGTCAAAAAAAAGAGCAGCTATATATGAAACGGCCAAAATGAAAACATATTGATGTTTTTTATTTCCAGGAGACACATAGTGATAGCACCAATGAGGCAGACTGGAGGAGAAGTGGAGGGGGAATCATTTTAAGTCACAACACTTCTCTTAGTGGAGGATTGGCTTTCTCCTCTCCAAGTCTTTCACTCCGGTTTCACTGGAGGTCGAGCATTTTATCGAGGGGAGGTTGCTTTTAATTAAAGCACGGTTCGACCTTTTACTGCAGTTTTTATCAATGTGTATGCTCCAACAATCGGTGCAGAGAGGAAGCTTTTTTACAAAAAGTTAACCATGTTTTAAATGGCTGTGCCTCGGAGGATTTTTATTCTTGGGTGGGGATTTTAACTGTACAGAAAATGCATCTTTAGATCGCAACCATGCAGAGCCGCATCCAGTTTCCCAACATGTTCTGGCAGCTGTCTATTCTCATGCCTGGTGGACGTGTGGAGAAGGATGCATGCAGACTGCCGACAGTACACATGGTCCCACCTCAGAGAGAGTAGGATCTCCTCAGCTAGACTAGACCTATTTATTTTAAGCATCATTTTAATATTTTAAAATGTGCAGTATTGTTCCTGCTGTTTTACTGACCATTCTTTACTCTTGTGTAATGTTTTTATTCAAAACATTTACCTAAAATGCTTATTGCATTTTAATTCAGTCTTAACATTTGATAAACATTTTAAAGAGGTTCTTATTTATTCTGGGATGTTTTTAGACAGAGGAAGGGTGAGTTTAACAGTCTTAGGCAGTGGTGGACCATGTAAGACTGAGATTAAACTTTTATTCAACAGCACACCCTCAATGTCACCAGAGACATCACCAGATCTATGAAAGACCTGGAGACTGATATAGTGAACTAGAAAGATGAGCGAGTCCACAGCAAATCGAGATATATTAAATCCTCAAAGTCAAAAAGCTAGCTTTAGCCGACCTGTTGGATGTTAAAGTACAGGTGCACTGTCAGGTCCCGTTTCAAGCCATCACGGAGAGATGCTTCCTCTAGTTTCTTCTTCGGCCTGGAGAAGAGGAGGCAGAGAGGGTAATCCACTCACTTTTAGCAGACACAGGGCAAACATTGACAGAGCCATGCCAGATAAGAAGGCGAGCTTGAGCTTTACTCGGCACTCTATTCAGTGAAGTATGAGGAGGAGAAGCTCTGATGGAGAGTTCTGTAATGGACTGCCTCAGGTCTCTGAGGAGACAACTCACAGCTCAACGGGCCGTTACAGATGCAGGAACTGAAGGCCGCTCTGCAGGCATGCAAGGCGGCGGGCTCCCGCATACGGCTGAGTGTGGAGTTTTATAAAGCCTCTGGACATCTTGCAAAAGATCTTTAGATGTTTTAATGAAAGTCTGGCCTCTGCTCAATGCCCATGTCCTGCAGAGAGCCGTAATCACCTTGCTCCCGAAAAAAGGTAACCTGCAGGACATCAAAAACTGCGCCCTGTGTCTTTGCTGTGTGGTGGATTACAAGCTTCTGTCCAAACTCTTTGCCTCCAGGCTGGGGAAGGCTATGGAGCAGGTCATCCACCGGGACCAGACCTACTGTGTGCCCGGCAGGTCCATGGTGGACAATGTCCACCTCATTCGTGATGTTTTGGACGTCTCCAGCTCATCGGGTTGTAACACTGGTCTGATTTCTCTAGACCAGGAAAAGGCATTTGACCGCGTTGAACACAACTTCCTCTGGAAAGTTATGGAGAAGTTTGGGTTCAGCGCTGGGTTCATAGCCAAGATCAAAGTGTTGTACAGCGGGGTTGAGAGTGTGCTGAAGTTTAACGGCGGCCTGTGTGCTCCTTTCAGGGTGTGTAGAGGCGTCAGGCAGGGCTGTGCTCTGTCCGGCATGCTTTACACACTCTCCCTGAACCTCCTTAACAATATACGCTACCACTTACAGGGCTTGGTTTTACCTGGTTTTAATAGCAACATTGTTTTAAGTGCTTATGCAGATGACATTGTTGTTTTATCAAAGACCAGAGGGATGCAGATATTTTAACCAACATTATAAAACGTTTTAGCGTAACATCGGCAGCGAGGGTGAATTGGATAAAAAGTGAAGCCCTCGCTGTCGGTGAGTGGCGTGACGGTCTCCCAGTTCTTCCCCAGAGCTTGGCCTGGAGAACAGATGGCTTTAGGTACCTGGGGGTTTTCCTCGGGAAAGAACACATAGTCCAGAAGAACTGGGAGACTGTCACAGAAAAAATTGAGGGGAAACTTTCCAAGTGGAAGTGGCTGCTCCCTCAAATGTCTTTTAAAGGTAGAGTATTGGTTTTAAACAACCTTGTAGCATCCCAACTGTGGCACCGTTTAACCTGTGTAGACCCCCCTTCAGGCTTGCTAGCCAGTTACAAAGAAAATGGTAGATTTTTTTTGGGACGGTCTACACTGGGTGCCACAAGGGGTGCTGTTTTTAGCCAGGGAGGAGGGGGGACGGGCCCGGGCCCTGGGCTCTCTTCTGGGCCTGCACTCTGTCCGGGTGGCGGGGAGGCTCCTGGAGCTGTGGTGCCAGAAGCTTTCGGGGAAAGAGAGGAGCCTCCTCATGGACTATGGTAAAAGAAAGGCCAGACTGGACCCTGCAGACCCCTTCCCTGAAGTCTTCCTGAGCCCAGGCCTGGGGGAGCTCACCGGCCCCCCTGCTGGCTATAGCACACTCAGAAAAGCTGACAATAAACAAAGCTGACAAAAAAACCTGGTATATGAACTGTGTGAAGGCGATCCACAAGGCCGGACTGTGCAACCGCCCCCCCACTGTGTGGTCAAACAGGCTGGGAGCAAATGGAGCCGGCCCACAGTGGAGGATTTTATATAAACCTCCCCTCAAAAAACGGACTGCCGACCTCCAGTGGAGGATTTTACATGGTGCTATTGCCTCCAATGCTTTTCTTTCTGTTCTTAACCCTGCTGTTCTTAACACCTGTCCTTTTTGTTGCCTTCCAGAGACTGAATGTTTTTATAGAGTGTAAGAGGCTCACAAGCTTCTTCTCTCTTTTAACATTGGTTTTTAGTTTTTTTGATGTGGTTTTTACTGAGAGGGTTTTTATTATGGGAGCTGCCTACAAAAAAGAACAAAAAGAGAAGTGGCAGCTCCTTAACTACCTTTCAGGTGAGGCAAAAATGGCTATTTACATCAGCAGAAGAAACAGAGTGGAGAACAGAGAGGGGCAGGAGGCCAAGGCAGTGTGGCTGATAAACATTAGGGCAAGACTCTGGCTAGATTTTAGATTTTATAAACACATTGGAGACTTGGACGCTTTTAAACAGCGCTGGTGTTTTAATGACATAATTTGTTCAGTTGTTGATGAAGAATTAGTTTTTGCACAAGTTTTTATCAGATAAATTATTTATTTTTTTAAACATACTCGGATTGTAATGCATTAGCACTTTGTTGAACAGTTGAACTGTGAAAACTAAAATTATGTAAATAAAGTGTTTTGCAAAAATCAAAAATCAAAATCTCTTTCTCTCTCTGTCTCTCTCTCTCTCTCTCTCTCTCTCTCTCTCTCAGGTGTTCACATTGTCCAGAGGATGTACGGCTGTGAGTGGGATGATGAGACTGGAGATGTTAATGGTTACAGTCAGTATGGTTATGATGGAGAAGACTTCATAGTTCTGGACATGAAGACAATGACGTGGGTCGCTCCACAACAACAGGCTGTCACCATCAAACAGGAGTGGAATAAAGACAAAGCTCGACTAGAGTATCATAAGAACTACCTCACCCAATGAGTGCGTTGACTGGCTGAAGAAGTTTGTGAACTATGGGAGGAGCTCTCTGATGAGAACAGGTAGGATCAAATGACCTGATGGAGTTGAATTCTGACAATGTTCATCTTCTTCTTTTCTTGTTTATCTTGTAATTGAACAATAAATATTTCACACATGTTTCTATCACACATGCTCTGTCTTCATCTTTAAGCTTCCCCTTACCTTTCCCTTCATGTTAGATCTCTTTCTCTCTGCTGCTCATCGCTCTCTCTCAAAGTTTCTCTGTGTTTTTATTGTACTTTCTCTCTCTCTCCTTCTTCTTCTTCATCAATCCATCTGAACCCCCTCACCTCTCTTCTTCTGTTTCTTCCCCTCTGACCCTCTCTTCTTTAAATTATACTTTAATAAGGTTGATTTTCATTGTTGACTCACTGGATTTTAAAGTCCCTTTTTTTCCCAGTACATTTAAAAAGTGTCATCAAACATGAGTTGTAACAGTATTTAAGAGTAAATCCTGATAAAGAAACTCTAATCTGTCTTCCTGTTTGTCCTCCAGACCTCCCCACAGTGTCTCTCCTCCAGAAGACTCCCTCCTCTCGGTCACCTGCCACGCTACAGGTTTCTACCCCAACAGAGCCATGATGTTCTGGAGGAAAGATGGAGAGGAGCTTCACGAGGACGTGGACAAGGAGAGATCCTCCCCAACCACGACGGCTCCTTCCAGATCAGCGCTGACCTTCAACTGCCCTCTGATGACTGGGGGAAGTACGACTGTGTGTTTCAGCTCTCTGGTGTGAAGGAGGACATCGTCACCAAACTGGACAAACGAGAGATCAAGACCAACTACGGTAAGACCTCGATGAGAAGTGATGAAAGAGAGGATTTGACTGTAACAGTCGTGTGATGGAGGGAAAGTTTAGTTGTGACTTTTTCTTTCTTTCAAACTCTTCAAATTGTAAAAGTATTCAGAAAAAGAGTTTAAAGGTTTGGATCAGGATGAAACAAACACAGAGATCTTTAAAGAGATTATTAATGGACAGAATCGTTTTGTTTTTTACCGTCTGTCCGCTCGTTACCACAGTGCAGCCGCATTAACCTTTAAATTACTTTAAATCAATAATATTGAGAAAAAAGGGTTTGAATGTAATCGTTAGCGGTTACCATTGTGCCACAATCAAACATGGAAATAAAAGACATAAAGGTGAAGGGAAAAAACAACTACATGTAGAAAATGAATCAAAGGTACAGTGATGAAGACGAGCTAACTGACAGAAGGAGAAACTTTGTCTTTAATGAACCTTTAACCTGTTTGATCACAGGTTGTGTGACTGTGTGTTGTTTGTGTTCAACAGTGACCTCTCATCATTGTCATCATCCCTGTTGTTCTCCTTCTTGTAACCATCGTCTGTGCGGCTGGATTCTGCCTGTATAAGAAGAGAAATGGTGAGAGAGCAAAGTGGAAACATTCAAACATGTTTTTTATATTTACATCTGGTGAATAGTTCTCTTGAGGGGACCTTAAATAACCTTCAATGAAATAAATCTAGAACAATCTTTTTTTTTCTGTTTCAGCCCCAACGCCCTCCATCCCGTAAGTAGAACTTGATTTTATTATATTAAGTTTGACCTTAAATGAACTCTGTAAATGAAAAAGGGTTTCTGGAGTGTTTTCTGGTGTAAATGATGGTTTCAGAGTCGGATGTGTGCTAACATTGTGTTTCTGATCTTACAGCGGTAAACGACCCGGCTGTGCAACAAATGATGCTTCCAAATCAAAATACCTGAAAGACAAAGAGAGGACCCTGAACCCAGTGAGTTACATGAAATAAGCCTTTAATTCAGGATATAGTCATTGTTCTGGTGGTGTGTGTGGTAAGTCAGGAAGACACTGCATGTAAACATTACTTCTGCTGCTGCGTCACCTGGACAGAGGCGGTAACCACAGCTACAGGCAGAGAGAAAAGAGAGTCACAGGTGAATGGGGAAGAGGAATCAGGAATCAGAGGAAGACACACAGTTTTTAAACCGTGTGTGTGTGAACGTGTTTTTGAGTCCTGTCATGTTTATTATCATGTTTTCATATACGAGCTTATTCTTTTCTTTTTGGTTGTTACAGTAATTCTTTAAATCTGATTATAAAACTGCATAAAGGAGATCGTTTCTTTGTTATTGTAAAAAAGTTGATGACTCATTTTAGTGAAAAAGTGTATTTGAAGTGAAGGGAGATGATTTAAAGAAAGGTGCTTCAATGATGAAATCACTGTGACCTTTGACCTTGATGTTAAAACCTGGATTTGTGGATAAATTCTGTAAAAAAAGTGATGATAAATATTTTTTAATGTCATGTTTTCTCTTTCTTCTGTCTTTTTCTCTAAAGGTTTACGGGTACGTTCTGCACTGAAACAAGGAGCAGACCGACACGCTCTCCTCAGAATTCATTGGCTCTCATCGTATCAGACATGAAGTGATCAGAGTTGGGAATTTAAATTTAAATCTTTGAAATACAAAGAAAACGAGTTTGAAAAAGAGTTGACAAATACTTTACAAATCTTCTTTAGGGTTGTTTGGTGACGTTAGTTTAAATATAAAAAGCTTTTCCGCTGATAAAAGACGCTTAAATACATTTAAATGAAAACTTGATGATTTATTTTTCGTCACCTGGAGAGAAGAGAATCAGAAGATGAATCTATGACGGCATCACGCCGCTCTTCATGTGTTGAAGAAAGATTTGTGTGTTGATCTAAAATCCATCATAGTTGGATTTTTATACTTCTGGTGTTCAGAGCTTTGTGCTAAAACAAATGTTGGTGATAAATACGTTAATAAAGACACACACACACACACACACACACACACACACACACACACACACAATACAAACATTAAACATTTTGTTTTCCAGTTGTGTAAATAGTTTCGCTTATTTTATTTTTTTAAGATTTCTTTTTGGGGCTTTTGGTACCTTTACTGTAGAGATAGGACAGAGGATAGAGTCTGAAATCAGGGAGAGAGAGAGAGCGGGGAATGACGTGCAGGAAAGGAGCCACAGGTCGGATTTGAACCTGGTCCGCCCGCTTGTAGGACCATAGCCTCCATTCACCAGCTCCTCAGTACTGTTTATTTCTGCATAAGTAATGAAGTGTGTTGATTTAAACGAGGCTCAAGAGATTTATAATGTTTGTGTTTTAAGGTTTTTCATTAGTAATCAGGACTATGTTGTTTTTTCTTCTGTGATATATATTTTTATATTAAGTTTAAATGCTTCAGCTGATCACACATTGATGTGATGAAAAGAAAAGTTGTTAGTTTTATTTGAGTTAAGATCTTGAATGGTTGGTGGGATGTTGAATGTTTCTCTGTGAAGCTGTCTGTAAATATAGATTTAGTGTTTCAATAAAGCCCTTAAACATTCAAAGTGTGTGTCTTCTTGTGATTTCACATAAAGTGTCTGAATAAATGAGGAGCAGATTTCCAGATATGAAGAGCTGTATGTGTTTTCCATAAATGATAATAAAAGATATTGTTAAAAAATCTTTTCACATAAAAAAGAAAATGGTACTGCAGATTTTCTTTCAGTCTTTTTCTGTTGTTAAAAACTTGTTTTCCCTGCCAAACATTAAAAACATGTTGGTCTCTGATATGAAGCTCTGGTGTAAGTTCAGTCAGGAAGACTTTATATTTGCCTTCACGATCGGGTCTTTCTCTCATTCTTCTCTTTTTGCACGCTCGCTCACGTTTCCCCTGTTATTCTCCAGCTGTCATTGGATAATCAGCTGTCTCGTCAGCGGTACTCATCTAACCAATGGCATGGCGTTCCTCCTTCATTGTCAGCCTATCATCGTTCTGCTCTCTTTTAAATGTGATTCTTTCTCTGCCTTTAGTTCCTTCATGTTGATGTTTCGTGCGCCCCTCCACCTCCCCATCACCGCCCGTTTTCACAGAATCATCATCCATCAATTCTTCACCCATCCGGTCTCATCATGTCCTCAGCTTCAGCACCACCAGGGTCTGGACTCCATCAGGGGATTTATTCTGTCAACACTCAGAATTGTTATTCTTCAAACATCAATCACCCCCATAGAGTCCAAGCTCCAAAGTATTTCTGTCAAGTCACATTTCCATCTTATCCATTATAATAAATCATTTTTTTCTTAATTCACTCGTCTCTCCTGATTTAAATTCGACTACCTATCTGGAGGAGCCATGTTTATGAAGTGCAGAACATAAATAGTTCCAGCAGGTGTCGCCTTGTGGTTAAGATGATAATCTATGAAGGTAGGAACTTTCACTGAGGTGTCAGGTGTTGCTAGACGGGGAGTAAATACACTTCTTTGACTGCTGTACACTATGAGGTGACAGAGTGAATCTGAATTGAAATGTCTGGATTATTGTTTGAACAGTTCACATGTGACAGTAATCAAGACATTGATGGAATGAGAAATAAATATTCCTAAACAAAGAAGATATTGGACTGTCTTATTTTGAATGCTTACGCTCAGGATCGAAGCCGGCAAGCGGCTCAATTAATAAACTAGATTAGTCCGTCTATGTAGATCCTCAGTGGCTTTAAGTTTAGGCTTAGCCGCTATATTCAAGTCAAAAAGTTGTTAATGACGCTTGAAGAGCTTCACCACGACGGAAATCAAGTGGATCATTGCTCGTCGTTTCCAGCTGACAGGACGCTGGAAATCGGAAACTACAAGCCGGGTGTAAACACCGGAGCCAGCCGGCCGCAGCATCCATCTTTCGGCGAGAGGACGCCGGCTACAACACCATTGCCTGCTGAGGTTCGGGGCCGATAAGCAGATCGCTTCTCTCGGTTCGAGTGACTGTGCCTGTGGGAGGATTTCAGGAGCTGATCTTCATGCAGAGGAGTTTGCATCGGGATCATCCAGGCGCCCAACGTGAGGTAGGCTACGTGTAGCGCTACTAATGAATGGCCATTCATATTTTGTGTGCACAGCGATCGCTACAAACCTGTAAAGGTTCCAATGCATTGGTGGTTGAAGCCACAGGACGATTGACTTTGTTTGCGTGTTGCGAGCTGACTGTGAACAATGGATACGCGCGTTAATGACGTTGACAGCCCCGCTGAGGCTATTGCGCAATCAGTGGAAACGAACACTTCAGGTGTTGATAAACAAAAACATGCTGTAAAGTTAACTCCTAAGGCCTTTGCTGAAAGGTTGGAAATGTTGCAAAGGGAAAGAAAAGCTGAGCTAAACAAGGCTAGAAAATTAAGAGCAAATGTGCAAAAAGATGATAACAAATCAGAGGTGCAACGTGTTTATAATGAGCTTGTCAATTTGTGTGATGAAGTAAAAGGTATTCATGGGTCGGTGTTGTGTGTGTTACCTGCTGATGAAAAGGAAAGGCATGAAACCTGGTTTAAAGCAAAAATGATGTTTAATGATGAGTGTATTGCTGACATCACACACACACACACACACACACACATCCTCACACAGACACACACACACACACACACACACACACACACACACACATCCTCACACACACACACACACACACACACACACACACCCTCACACAGAGACACACACACACCCTCACACAGAGACACACACACACACCCTCACACACACACCCTCACACACCCTCACACAGAGACACACACACACCCTCACACAGAGACACACACACACACACACCCTCACACACACACACACACACACACACACACACCCTCACACAGAGACACACACACACCCTCACACAGAGACACACACACACACACCCACACACACACACACACACACACACCCTCACACACACACACACACACACACACACACACACACCCTCACACACACACACACACACACACACACACACACCCTCACACACACACACACATACCTCTGCTCAGCCACATTTACTGTAAATGTCACACACCAACATGATATTGACAAAAATGGACTTAAAACTAACTAAGGCCACAGGCCGGTCACTGTCAACAAGGAACATTGTGTGCACTGTCTCACACACACAAACTTTCAGTTCAACCAAGTCCACAAACAAAAATGTAAAAATTTACAATAGCGTCAATAACAAAATGCGTGAAAAGTTTTACTCTGCATGTTGCTTCTTAGTGGGACTTCTAGCATTCCTTGCCTTCAGTGAGAAGGCTAAAGAAGAAAATGGGCTCTCAAGGGAGGACATCAAATTCATGGAGAGTGGAAAAGTCAGCAGCTCTGGAGGACGGTCACTACAGCCTGAAGTTTCCCTTTAAGAAAGACAGCGTATCCCTGCCCAACAACTTTCCGGTGGTGAAGCAAAGGTTACTTGGTCTGAAAAGGAAGCTTTTGAACAACAAACAGTACCATGAAGAATATAAAACATGCCTCAATGAGTTGATGAGTAAAGGCTATGCAGAGCCAGCTACACATCATTTGGATTGTAGCAGTGGCAAGGTGTGGTATATTCCCCACCACGGTGTATATCACCCAAAGAAGAGGACTCTGCGAGTGATGTTCGACTGTGGTGCAACGTTCAAAGCGACATCTTTGAACCATCAACTCTTGCAAGGTCCCAATCTCACTAGCACCTTGCTAGGGGTCCTCATAAGATTCAGGCAAGAACCAGTTGCAGTCATGGGTGACATACAGGCGATGTTTCGTGACAGTAATCAAGACAATGATGGAATGAGAAATAAATATTCCTAAACGAAGAAGACATGTCTGTCTTATTTCGAATTCTTACGCTCAGGATCGAAGCCGTCAAGCGCCTCAATTAATAGGCTAGATTAATCCGTCTATGTAGATCCTCAGTGGCTTTAAGTTTTAGGCTTAGCCTATAATATCCAAAAATATCACTCCAGAGGCAGAGCACAACATCGACAGCTGTTCTTCAGAGATCTAATCAGCATCAAAACTATCCTAAATATCTTCATCATCATTATCAAACAAAACCATCATCATCAATAATATCATTAAGGTGGTAGGTGGTCATAAAGAGCTGGGTCTTTAGCTTTTCTTAAAGGTGCAGAGGGACTCTGCAGATCAAATGGAGTTTAGTTCCTTTCACCAGTAGGGGCGACAGAGGAGAAGAGTCTAGTTAGAGACTTAGGACCCTGTTGTGAAGGTTGGATCCAAGGGGCAACCTCCGGTCTCGAAAAATGAAGCCTATGCAGAAGTACAAAAAACTGCAGTTCCTCAAGGTTCCTCTTGAGGCTGGCTGCAGAAGCGCTGGAAGCGCCATAAGCCCACAGCCAAAAAAGCCCGTTTTTACCACAGGAATCAACATGTTTACAGCCTGGTTCAAAAAACGAGATATATCTGAGAAGTTGACGGCCCCTTCTCCTCACACTGTGGGGGGGTGAATGTTTTGATGACTCATCAGTTTTGATTTGATGAAGGATAAGAGTTATTCACAATAAGGCGTGTAGCTGACCTGATTGACAGGCGGGTGCGGTGTAACGGTTTGTCAGGAGGTTTAAAACCCGTCTCAGCTCTCAGCCTGTGGGTGACATCACTCAGGCCATCCGGGGGAGACCTCCCTCACAGCGAGCTGTTGAAGAGAAGCAACTGAAGTCCACCCCAGAAGAACCAACAAATACAGATGTTGTTGAGGCTCAGGTTTCTTCCTCTGTCTCTGCAGCTCTCTGGGCACCTCGATGGACCAGTCACCAATAATCCACACTGTGTCTATAGGAGAAATACAAAGGTGTTCAATTAATGCCTCAGACAAAATGTACAGTTAACTACATGTGACGGCTCAGGCTGTTTTTTTGTTATGAGCCACATCTGCAGGAATAATATTGAACAAGGTAGCTGCAGCTCATCATAATAGATGCCAGTCTTAAACACTATTTTTTCTAATACTTAAAGTTTTTGGTGTGAAGCTGAC